CTGTTTGTGTTGGGGTGGACAGAACTGGGCAGACTTTTCCCCCAGCTTAAGACACAAACAACCAATCCCTTTACGGCCTTTAACGGGCTGGGGGAAGTGGGATGGAGAGGAATGAGAAAACGGCAGGTACCAGACTGCTCTGTCTCTGATTCCTTCCACAAAAGAGGAAGGAGACATCAGGAGGATGAGACAGAGGGGAACTCTTCTCCACAACTTTCCCTATAGAAGCATCCCTCTTTCCCTTCCCAGAAACACAAATCCTTTAGCCTGGCATACAAGTTCTTGCCCGGTAGGGTACTGCCTCCGTTTCCAGGCCAATCTGTGCCGCACTCCAGTTGGCTAACGAGGACAATTCTGCGATCCCTAAACCTGCCCCAATGCGTTCCTGGAGTTCGGCCAGCATCGCTCCCTTTCTCTGCACCCTCCCCCTTCACCTGATGACCAAAGGCCTCTTCTTCCGGGAAGCCCTTCCTGACTGACTGAGGATAAAAGGACAGAGATGCATGGAATCCACTTATCCTATAACATTGGGAACCGAGGTTCTCTGGGTTTGGCCTCTTCTTCGATTCTTAGTCCCACGAGAATAGGGAGCAAGTCCGGTCTAGAGAAGGATCAGTAAAGTGGGGAGGCAGACAGGATAAGAGGGAATCACCAGGGAAGGAGAAGGGGGGGGGTGCCTACCATATGCTAAGTGCTTTACAAATATTACTTTATTTGACCCTCACAACTCTGTGAGGTGAGTGCTGTTATTATCTTTATTTTACGGATGAGGAAACTGAGCTCGAGGGAAATTCAGTGACTTGTCCAGGGTCACACAACTAATAAGTACCAGAGGCCAAATCTAAACTCAGGCCTTTCTGACTCCTGGCCCAGCTCTACTCACTGAACCACCAGCTGCCTTTCATTTAAACTATCCACACTGCCCTCTGAAACTCAGGAGCCTCATAAATCATGTCTGTAGAATGAATGGCTGAGGGGGCTACACCTTTATCTAGGCTTCGGGGGCCCACAAATGCCTTCCTTTCCAAGTGACCTCATTTCCTTCTCCCCACAAAACTGTGACGGAGACAGACCAGATAACCATATCTCTGTGTTACTGGTGATGAGGAAACTGAGCTGTAGACAGGCTGGGCCTTCCCCAGAATCCCACACCCACGCGCACCTGCCACCCTACCTAGAAGTCCGAAGACCTGGATTCTGGTTCCAGCTCTGCCCCTAACTAGCTGGGGGACTGGCTGTGTTCCTTCTCAGTCTGCCCCCTTCTAGGATTCAGATACTAGGAAAAATTTGCCATAGGACTGCTAGATATCGGAGCCGAGTGTCAGTGTCCCCACTGGGGGATTACAGGGCTCAGGTGTTGAATGACTCCAGGGGAAACTGAGGCACCTGAGTGTAGTCGGGAGGGCCAAGAGAGATCCAGCAGCTGGAGGAGAGAGTCGGGCTTGCCTGGGCTCAGGAAGTAGAGGGAGGAGCCTCAGGGGCTGGGGGAACGGTGACTCCTGCAAGTTGCTGCGCAGATCTGGAAGAGGAACCTTTCCATCTCTCCTGAAAGACGAGACTTGGGCTTCGAAGCCAGAAGGGAGCAGGAGACGCCGAAGCATCTGCGCCCGATGACTATCCCTGTGACCGCCGCGGTGGCCCACGGGGAGAAATCCACGAGTAACTAACTGGCCGTGACTCACCTCACTCCCACCTCCCCTCTCCCGCCAAGTCAACTCAACCCTGTGGCATCTCCGCTCCCTGGCGGTGGCATTCCGATCGCGTGAGGCTCCGGGTCCTGACTCAGCCTTCGCACGCAGCGCTCCGTCCTAGCAAGCGGCGGTTAGACCGCCCTCCCCGGGGCACCAGACGAAAGGGGGAGACGCGGGAATGACGAGCAGCCCAAGAGACTCGAGCCAAAGGGGCAGCAAGTAGCAGAAAGCCCAGCCCTTCCCTGGTGCCTCCCGTATCCCTCTGCTTCCTTTACTCATATTTCCCTGGAGCTAAGTCCTTGGGGAGTGAGCTGAGCATCCCAATAGAGCGCTTCGCAATCCAGCCAAGGACAAAAAAGGAGCAGAATCAAACACCTTATACTTTATAGCACAGAAAATTCCAAACGGAGAGATGGAAAAGTCACTCCATAGAAAAAATTAGGACAATGGAAAGTGAAATCTTTCACAGTTGTGAGTAGGAGAAAAAGTCATACCCAGTCAAGGCATAGAAGACAAAATGGAGAATCTCAAATATGTAAAATGTAAACGTTTTCGCACAAATAAAATCAATGCAGCTAGAATCAGAGAAAAATATATGGATTTGGGAAAATCTTTCTATTAAATATTTGACAAAAATTTGATGAATACAGCCCGTAGGGAAGAAACATAAAGAGATGTTAAAGAACCTCAACAGAAAAGTTTACCAAGAAAGAAATGCAAATGATCAATAGCCACCTGAAACAAATTTCAAAATCACAAATAACCAAATAAGTACGAATCATTATCCTGAGACACCACTTATGATCAATAGCCACCTGAAACAAATTTCAAAATCACAAATAACCAAATAAGTACGAATCATTATTCTGAGACACCACTTAAGACAATAAACGTCTTTTGAATGAATTCTGCCTTAAGGTAGCAAAGATGCTAAAAGATGGACAGAGTCATTGCTGGAGCAGTTGGAGGAAGACAGGCAAACTTCTTCATTGTTAGTGAAACTGTGAGTTGGTCAAGCTGCTGGGGGGGGGCGGATTGGAATTCTGCGAGAAAAGTCACTGAATTGCTCATCCCCTTTGACCCTGAAATCCACCACTGGGACTATATTTCAAGGAGGTTACTGACAGCAGGAAAAACTCCTGCTACGCCCAAGTGTGGATGGCAGCATTATTTGTGATAAACACAAACAGTTAGGGTCTGGCTGCACAAATTATGGTCTGTGTATGTAAAGGAAAATTCCGGCACTCGAAGGAATGATGAATCTGAAAAATCTAGAGGATCATGTGAAAAAAGAAAGTGATGCCAATGAAAGAAAACAGGGCCACAATTGTGTCAACGGTATAGCCATGGAAAAGCAAAGAACTCAAGGCCAAAATAATTGTCAAGGTCTTCACCCTGCCACCAGTTAGGGGACATATCTCCCTTACTTCTCTGTTACCAATCCAATTGCTTTTGGGGAGTGCATCAAGTTAAAAAGTACAGTGAGGTGTTCATTGTGAAATGTCTGTTGTGTCCAAATAAAACGTTATCCATACACTTTAAAAATAAAGTCATGGGGCAGCCAGGTGACCCAGTGGATAGAGCACTGGCCCTGGATTCAGGAGGACCTGAGTTCAAATCCGGCCTCAGATACATAACACTTACTAGCTGTGTGACCCAGGGCAAGTCACTTAACCCTGATTGCCTAGCTTAAAAAAACAAACAAAAAATAAAAATAAAGTCATGCTCTGGCTTAGCGATCCCCCCAAAAGGGCCAGAAAATATGTATTTATTCCAGTCCTTTAAGGGCATGCGATTCCATTGGTGATGCCTTGGAGGCGGGAGCTATAATTATCTCCATTTTATAGTTGCAGAAACTGAGGCAAACAGGGGTTAAGTGACTTGCCCAGGTCACACAGCTAGTAAATGTCTGAGATTGAATTTGAACTTGGGTCTTCCTCACTCCAGTCCCAGGGCTCTATCCATTACACTATCACTCACCTCTAATGGCTCTTTAGGTGGCCTACAATTTTAATGTTTTGGTTAAGTGACTTGCCCAGGGTCACACAGCTAGTAAGTGCCAAGTGTCTGAGGTCAGATTTGAACTCAGGTCCTCCTGACTCCAAGGCCAGAGCTCTATCCACTGTGCCACCTAGCTGCCCTAGTTTTGATGTTTTGGAAGATGACAGTTTTCAATGATAGTTAGCCATACAGCCTATTAGATGCACACTGGCATTTAAAGAAAGGTGTTTTTTTTGGTTTGTTTTGGTGAGAACCTTGGGGTTCATTAAAAGTATTGCACAATTTCCCAAATGCAAGTCAGCCTACTGTTCTAGTCAGTTCTAGGCCCGGCTGAGACCTTGGCAGCCTGCCTAAGCACACGTCAGCCCAGACAACAGGCAGGTTTCATCCACTTGATGTGTCCTGTCTAGATAGTCAGTTACTGTGTGTCCCCTTGAGGAAGCTCAGCCACCCACAGGAGCTCGCTGCAGGAGCTACGCCAACAGGAGCGCGTAGGACGGGCGGCACAAGCTGTGGCCCCCGTTGCACAGGCCTCATCTAGCCATTGTCTTCAGGAGGGAGCCCCTCTTCCATTTGGGCTCTGGGGGGGATGGAGCAAAGGCCTCTGGCAGGGAGCATGCGTTTCTCAGCGTCCAGCAGGGGATCACTGGACCATGTGGGACCGTACTATTGCATCCTTCTCGGATCCCTGTTGGATTCTCACGTGGAACGTCACAGATAAGCCAGGAGGCCACGTGAGACCTGCCCCTGCTCAGAACCCTCCCTAAGCTGGAATGGCCTCTTCTCTTCACCGTTCTTCGAGGCTTGACTAACAGCTCGGCTTCGATGATCCCAACTGGCGGCTACAGAATGGCTGGAGAGCCTTCTCCGTGTAAATAGTGTAGACCGGAAGCTCTCTGAGGGCAGGGAGCTGTTCATTTTTCTTCACATTCCCAGCACTGGGTACAGAGCCTCATGTGTACTATTGGGAACATGATAAATGCTTGTTGAAGTAAACCAAGTTTTGCCCTGAGAGGCAGATGTTAAGAGCATGGAAAGAGGTCTGGACTGGAAGTTAGAAGACCTAGGTTTGAATCCCAACCCTGGCAGCTGTGACACTTGATGTCTGTCCCTCGGTTTCCTTACCTGTAAAATGGGGATACAAGCGATGCTCCCTAATTCACAGGGCTGTCGTGGGGATCAAATGAGAATGGACCATAAGCTCTCCACTGGTACCATACGGCACTGAGCAAAGCCGTCACAGGAAACAGTCAGTCAACAAGCATTTATTCAGGGCTCACTAGGCACCAGGCACTGTGTGCTAAGTGCTGTGAATACAAAGAAAAGCAAAAAATTGGGTCCCTTCCCTCAAGGGGCTCACATTCTAATGGAAGAGACAACATGTTAATAACTACATAGACACAAGATATATATACAGTGTAAAGAGAAGGAAGGCAGTGAGGGTGCCAGGGAAGGCAGGAGGCAAAGGTGAAAAGAAAGAGCATTCCAGGTATGGGGCACTGCCAGTGCAAAGGCCTGGAGTCGGGAGACGGTTTCACCTGTGCAAGAACAGCCAGGCCATCATACCTGGATTATGGGGTTTGAGGGAAGGAATAAAGTGTCAGAAGACTGGGAAGGAGGAAGAGACCAGGTTGTAAAGGGCTTTCATGCCAGATAGAGTATTATCGATCTGATCTGGGAGGTGATAGGAGCCAGCAGCATTGGTGAATGGTCAGGCTTGCGGCTTCTCAGGTTTTGGTCCTGGGCTAGCCCTTAACTCCTCCGTCCCAGAAGGCCTAACACCATTCCTCTGACCTGACCAGCAGCCACCCAAGCCTGTAAACCAGAGGACCAGGAGGGGGGCGGGGTGAAAACAAAGGTGGGCTTTAATGAAGCAATGGAAAGAACGGTATAGGGAATTGAAGTCAGAGCAGGGAGCAGCAGGCACTCACTCTACTAGGAGGGCCCTGTCCACGGTCAGGACTACAGCTCCCAGGATGGAACACTCCACCAACTCTTCTGTGCTGTGCCGGCCAGGGATGGGCAAGGAGCAGCTCTAAGCAGGGGGAGGGGGCCCAGCTGAGGCTCTGGGCAAGTAACAGAAGCTCTGAGGAAGAGGGTCCCATCCGCCCTCCATTTACTGGGCCAATACCAGGGAAGGGGGGGTGGGGAACGACGTCACGTCTCAGCCTCCTCTCCCTTCCGGATGCTTGGGCGAGCCGCGTCTGCACCCCTTCCCCTTTCCTGAGGCCTGAGACCAGTCCCCAAAGTCCAGAGCCCTGGAAGGCCAGCCAGAATGACTGTCTCTGCCCTCCCCACCCCCAGGTGTCTCAGCTCCCAGCACAGGGGCACCCACCCCAGCTAAGTCAGGGCTGTGTTGTTGAGCCGGTCCAAGACTCGGGAGCAGTGGGGGGTGCTCTCCAGGTGGTAGCTGCTCTCGTAGAGGGTGGGGCACAGGTGCCAGCGGTTAGCTCGATAGATTCCTAGGTAGGTGTAGACATCCGGCTTGTAGGTCAGTGGGCACTTGACCCCAGCTGCCCGGATGGCAGCATCAGCCTTCAGCACTCCCTCCTGGTCCGTGAAGTCCTCCGTGTAGACACAGATGACCTGACGCTCCTCTTCCTGGGCCCGGGGGCTCACTTTGGCCACCTGCAGCTTCCCCTCCACCACGGCCCTGGCGATGCCAGCCCACGCGTGGTCCAGCTTGAAGCCAGGGCTCAGGTGCATTAGCCATTTGCCGGTCAGCACCTCGTGTGTGAGGGCCAGCTCCCGCAGGATAGCAGGAGTGATGGGCCGCCCGCTGGCCTGCAGGGCTTCCCAAGCCCCCTGGAGTCCCTGGACATCCCCAGCTCCAGGGGAGAAATCAGGCCCGTAGACGGCGATCCAGCCGACAGGCTTGGGATTGGGGGCGCTGGGCCCCCCGTAGCGAGAGACGCGGGAAGGAGGGTAGGCGGCCAGCCAGGAGTCCAGCTCGCAAGGTGGGGTGCTGCGGGCATCGAAGACCAGCCAGGGGTCCATGTCCGCTGCCATGGCCTCGGCAGCCAGATGCTCCGCTGTGAAGCCATCCTCCTGGCCCCCAGGGGGGATCTCTTCCTCCGGCAGATCGATCCTGCAGGGAGGGGGAAAGGTGAGGCCCGCAGAACCCCCACCTGCGTGCTGGCTGCCGGCCGCAGGGCCGAGGCCTACCACCCTTCCCCTCTCTGCTGCCCTTTAAAGAGACAGGGCTGGGTGTCACAGTGAGTAGAGTTCTGAACTCGAGTCTGGGAAGCCCTGGGTTCAAAAGTTGACTCGGACTCTTAGTTGCTGTGCGACTCCAGGCAGTCACTTGACTACTCTCTGCCTCGGTTTGCCCGTCTGTAACGTGGGGATGATAGCACCTGCTCCCTCCCCAGGTGGTGGAGAGGCCCGACCGAATTAACACAGGGAAAGCTCTTGGCAACCCTCGGAGGGCTACGTCATTGCGGGCTGTCGTGATTAGATGGCCGTTTTATTACTAATTACACGTGATGACATAAAGCCCCTTCCCTCCCACCCTCGAGTTCCTAAAGGAGATAAGGCCTCAGTCTAAGAAGACAAAACCCGAATGGATCCCGGCAAAGATCACTAGTTTGGGAGTCCTGCGGGGCCTCCCTGGCCAAGGCGCCCGGTGGGCCTCAGTCTCCCCCCTCCAAAAGGAGGCTCCGCCCACCCGGCTCTTCCCAGCTCCGCCTCCCCTCCCCCGCCGGAGGGGGCGCTCGCCGCCGCTCGCCTCCTCCCGCCCCTCCCCCCACCCGACCTCGGCCCCTCCCGGCTTCCGTACACTCCCCGCCGCTGCCCCCTGCCCTGGCCGGAGTTTCCCGCCCCGCGATCCCGCTGTCTCCCCTCAAGGCCCAGTCACCTCCGCCTCTCGCTCCTCTCTGTGCCAACCCGGCCTGGCCCCCGCTCTCTCCGGGGCTCCTCTCCTCCACGGGCCCTCCGCTCCGCCCACCCTACGGCCGCCGCCATCTTGGGCCGCCTGCCGCCTCAACAACAACTTTATCGGCAACCGCCGGCCGCGGTCGGACACAGCCAGGACGGAGGGGGTGTGGGGACTGGGGGGGCGGGACTTTTCCGGACGTGGCAGCGGACGCGACCAACGGGGAGCGGGGCCTCTCCGCGGAGACGCCCCGCTTGAACGTGCGGAGGGCGGGGCCGTTGAAGGCGTTCCTCCATCAGCAGGGAGGCGGGGCGAACGTCGTCCTCCTCGGCGGGTCTATGGGAGGAGAGGTGCTGGTGCGGCGCTGCGGGGCGGAGCAGGGCGGAGCGGAGCGTGCGCGGTCCGGTGAGCGCTAGGACCCGGAGGAACGAGCAGCGGGTCGGCGCTAGGACCCTGAGGCGCACGAGGCGGCCCGGCGCTAGGACCCGGGCGGGGCCGCAACCGGGGCCGCAGCCGGAGCCGGAGGAGCAGCGGCGGCGGAGCCCGAGGAGCCCGAGGAGCCGGGGCCGGAGCCGGGGCCGGGGCCGGAGGGCCGAGGCCGAGGTCGAGGTGCGGCGAGAGCAGCAGCGGCGGCGGCGGCAGCAGGAGGCCCCGAGATGCCGAGCAAGAAGAAGAAATACAACGCGCGCTTCCCGCCGGTAAGGAGCCGGCCCGGGCTCCCGCAGCCGCCCCCGGCCCCGCTTGGGCCTCCCCGCGCCCGGCCCGCGACGGCTGCCCCGCCCGCCCGGGGCCCGGGTCCTCGCCTCCCCTCCCGCCCGGGACCCCCGCCCAGGGATCCCGGGGGCCCCTCCTCCCGCTTGTGCCCCCCCCCCCCCGGCCCCCCCCCCCGCGGCGTCTGCCCCCCCAGCTCCTCCGGCACCCCGGGACGCCCCACACTCCCAGGACTCCCCTTTTACACCTGGGCCCCCCATACCCCCCTCGGTCCCCCTCTGTGGCCCCCTCCCCTCTCCCTGTTCTGTTCCTGGGGCCCTGTCTCCCCCGCTGCGGGACTGGGCCGCGGCCCCTCCCCCACCCCGTGGCAGCACCCCACCCCCCACCCCCCGCCCCCTGCCCAGGTCCCCGACATCGCTTCGCTGATGGGGGTGGGGAAGGGGTTCTTGTATCCGTCGTTCTTAAAGCTGCTCTCCCCCTCACCCCCCATCCCAAGGCCAGAATCAAGAAGATCATGCAGACAGACGAGGAGATTGGCAAGGTGGCAGCAGCTGTACCTGTCATCATCTGTATCCTTGGGCGCCGAGGGGAAGGGGCGACCTGGGCTGGGGGCTCAGGAGGGTGGGGAGGAGGGGCTGGGGGCTTAGGAGGCCAA